AAGAAAGAAAGAAAGAAAAAAGAAAGAAAGAAAGAAAGAAAGAAAGAAAGAAAGAAAGAAAGAAAGAAAGAAAGAAAGAAAGAAAGAAAGAAAGAGAAAGAAAGAAAAGTGAGACTATGGGGGTGGAGGATTAGGAAAAATGCAAACAGCAGCAGAGAAAAGAAGAACAAAAACAGGGTGAGTGCTGGCCAGCGCACTCCCACTTTACCATTATTGCTGGGGTCAGAGGTGATTCATTCTGCGCATACGTTTAAATTGTGTGGTTAAAAGAAATAGTAAAGCTGCTGATAAATGCCAACCGATGGAGGGGGAAGAGTTACCCACGTCAGCTTCGATGAGGAGGCTAGGAAAAGCAGGTGCACCTAGCAAAGTTGGCAGAGAGGGGAGAAGGGAGCAAGCTGGCAGACCAAGGCTGCACGGTGGGCTCCAGCGCGTGCCCAAGCCAGTCATTCCCCGTCTGCCCGATGCCAGAACAGAAATCTCCATCGTTGGGCCAAGACACTGTGTCCACAGTGTCTCTGACAAAAACGCAAATGTATCACAAGGCAGAGAAAGGAAGTTAGCTCCCTCCTGTGACAAAACAGCAGAAGTCATCCGTGAAGGCCTGCAGGGCACTGGGGGGAGTGGGGGAGGAGGGTACCCTAAAGAGAAAGGGAAGAAAGTGAGGGTGCAGAGAAGAGTCACCCCACCCAGAAGCATGGTTCCCTACACAACAACACAGAAGAAAGTTCAAAGCAGAACCAATAGAATAGAAAGCAGAGGCAAAGAAATCAAGAAAACCAATAAAACCGAAAGTTGGTTCTTTGAGAAGATTGATAAAATTGATAAAACTGTAGACAGTCTCATCAGGAAAACAGAGAGAAGACACAAATGACCAGGAATAGCAGCATGAGGGGGTCACATCACTGGATTCCACAGATGTCAACAGGGTCAAAGAACGTTATAAACGACTTCATGGGGCGCCTGAGTGGCTCACTCGATTAACCGTCTGATTCTAGGTTTCAGCTCAGGTCATGATCTCAGGGTCCTGGGATCGAGCCCTGTTGCAGGCTCCATGCTCAGCCGGGAGTCTGCTTCTTCCTCTCTCTGCCCCTCCCCCAGCTCCCATGTGCTCTCTCTCTCTCTGTCTCTCTAAAATAAGTAAATAAATCTTTAAAAAATTAAAAATAAATGACTTCTTGCAACAAATTCAACAACTGAAATGAAATGGACAAATTAAAAGACACAAATTAGCAAAGTTCACTCAAGAAGAAACAGACAACCTGAGGAGGCCTATTATCTAGGAAGGCAGTTGGATTTGTAGTTAAAAACCTTCCCACAAAGACAACTCCAGGCCCAGTTGGCTCCACTGGTAACTTCTACCAAACATTTAAGGGAGAAATGATACCAAAACTAGAGAAAGACATTACAAGAATAAAAGCCTACAGACCAGCATCCGTCCATGAACCCAGATGCAAAAATTCCAAATAAAATTTTAGCAAATAAAAGCCAACAATATATAAAAAGGACAGTATTTCATGAGTGGGGTCTGTCTCAGGAATGCAAGGTTGGGTTAATATTTGAAAATCAATCAATGTAATTCATAATATTAACAAACAAAAAATGAAAAACCACAGGATCATCCCAGCAGACACAGAAAAAGCCCTGCCTAATCCTACATCCCAAGCAGAGCCTCTCCCCCAGTGCAGGCCTGACCCAGCCCAGTGGGCAGAGGGCATGGTGTTTTATCTCGTCTGCCTTCAGCCGTCTCCTCCTCCCTGCTCTTCCAGGGTGGAGCTGCAGGGCAAGGGAAGGGCAGTGTCTAATGTGAATGGAGCTGCTGCAGCTGACTTCCTTAGCGGGTATCCGATGTGGCTTTGGTGGCTTTGAGGCGAGGGGGCTGGAGCAGGTTGTTCCGAGAACCAGCACAGAGCCTGCCTGCTACACTGTTTCTAAAATAGGAGACACATTCTCCATCTGATGCCTCACCGGAACCTTTCCATCCCTAGAATAAGATAAACAGCTAAAACAGTCAATAAAAGACTAGTCTTTTAGCTCATTATTATATTATCCCCACAATTATGGGGATGTCCCCCAAAAACCACAAAGCAGGAAAGACATGGTGTAGTAGTAAGTAATCAGAAATGATAAAAGAGGGGTAAGGTAGGTAGTTAGGCAAGCAGTACAGGTAGCAAGAGAGAGAGGTGCCCACCAGGGTGACCCACAAACCTCAGCCCTAGGGGTCTGGCACTCTGTCCTCATAGGGGACAGCAGGACACAGATCTTAATTTCAGGCTACATTTACGGTCCACTCATGGGAACAGATTTCTTGGACCAAATCTTCCCTTTCAGTCAAAGCTCTTGGTTGTGGCTCATTCAAGGTTGGCTACAGCACAGATACATGTCCCCGAACATACTACACTCCCACCCAGACAGTAATTTACATATCAAACAACAGTAGCAATCCATTTTCAGTGACTTCTTCCACAAAGAGAGAGGGCCCAAGGCAGTGGGCCTCAAGCACCCCCAGTCACGCACACTATGCTGCTCAACCCCAAGGGTAGTTACGGGCGTTCTCATGCACCACTGGAAGCGATACATCTTTTCAGAAACTTCCTGGCCATAAATATTAAAGAAGTTACAATCGTGCCTCTAATTCCACTTCTCTACAAACAGTCATGACTCTGAGCAAATATGTCTGTATAAGGGATCCATTACATCACTGCTAAAAAAATGAAAAAGCAGAATGACTGAAAGATCTGCTGATAGGGGTGGGTTAAATAATTATGACAGGTTCACATGACAGAATATCTTGCAGCCATTAAAAACATGTTGCAGAAGATCAGTCACCATAGGAGAAAGCGGTCACAACATACAGTAAATAAAAAACAGATTGGAAAACAGTCTGTATCGATGGATCCCATTTCTGCAAACACATATACACATACGTACACATGTATTGTACATGCGTGGGTTTCCATGTATACATGCTTGCTGCTAGAGCACAGAACAGCACCGGGAAACAGACGTGACAAAGTCAAAGAGCGCTGACCTGGGGAGATAAGATTGTGGGTGACACCCATTTTCTGCATTGAGCTTTTCTGCACAGCTTTTTGACATTCTGCTCAATAAGGACTCCTTGTACAAACAGATTTTTTAGATGAAAAGCATAAACTCCATAAGAAAAATTACAAAACTCTCGGGGGTGACTACAGCCCAGTCAGTGTGAGTGCCTGGCGGCCCCCACTCTAGTGTGCTGACTTCTCATCCAGCACGTCACCCAACCTCTCTGATCAAAGCCTCCTCAACTAGAGAGTTGTTGTTTGACAACATAATCTGCATGTTTCCTGCCTGTCCTAAAATGCTAACTGCTAATGATAATCATATCTTATTTTTTAAGTCACCAAAATGTACAAAGGGTACACATAGACTGAAGCTTGAGGGCGACTTTTCAGAATCATTGCTCACCCCCACTCCCTGCCCAGTTGGAGAGAGGGAAGCAGGTACCCAGGTGTTAAGAATAATCACACACCATCTCCACTCTCTCTATCCAGTGGCTCTGAAATTCAGTCATGGCTGAAACTGTTTCTTGTCGGAGACTTTCCCACTGCCCCTGGCAAGTTACAGGTTGAGGGGAGAGGGCATGTAATAAATACAACTTGATTCATCACGCTGCCTTGAAATGCACACCCTAAGCAAACAGCTAAATGCTTCTGCAGGCTCATGCTTGAGACCCATGCTGGAGCTCCTAGGCTGTCCTTTACTGGAACTCGGGCTGCATGTTCAAGGGCACACAGAAGCCCTGCTTCTTTAAACTGTGGAGGAAGAGGACCAGCACTGATGTCTTTCTGGCACATTATTCATCTCTCACCATTCAGTCATCATGCCAGCTCACAGAGGAGAAAACATAAGAATACCAAAACTACCACTTAGAGAAATAAATACTCTCAAAAATCTCACCTTTGAAATACCAAACAAAATGACAAGGCCATTTAAAAAAAAAAAAGTAAAAATCATGTTACATTCTAAATATCAACAGGATATCTTGCTTAAAACCTAGCAATTTGTTGCTTATTTTAAAAGGTGGATCCCTTTTATACTTATTAAATGGATTTTTTTTTTTTTTTTTTTAGGATATCTTGCTTAAAACCTAGCAATTTGTTGCTTATTTTAAAAGGTGGATCCCTTTTATACTTATTAAATGGATTTTTTTTTTTTTTTTTTTGCTAAGAATCAGGTGATGTGAACAGTGATGGAAGGCTCCACCCTCTAGACCTCTCAAATGTCTGTCAAGCACAAAAATGTTGAGAACTTGGGGCAAATCTTTAAATTTAGCATTATAATTAGCTTCAACATTATATAACTTAAAATAGCTTTTCCTGACACCCATCTGTCCAAATCCCCAAAAACAAAAGAAAAATGAAAAGTTTCAATAAATAATTGCACAGTGTGTCTCGAAGATGACGATCTTCCTAACCATGGTCTTAGAGTATTTTTACTGACTCCCATCATGTTCGTTACTTAAGTGCTTTGACAAGTATGACAAGCTTGCACAGTGGATTCGGGCTTCAAGAGCAACATGCCTCTATAGGCATTGCCTACAAAACGCTGATTTTGTAAAAGCGACATCATTCAACACTGACATTCGAAGTTTTCCCGGATCACCCAATTTATCCCATCTTTAGTAATTAGCAGTGAACACTTACTTCCTTCAACCTTCTCATCTTTGTGGGTTTTCTGGGAGCTATATGAATATAACTGCAAAAGAAGAAAGAAAAACCTAATTAGAATGTAAATACTGAGGTGGAAGATCAGAGCCTCTTGAGAGAGGACTCCTTTTTGGAATTTCCATAAGAGATTCCACAACAACTTAAACTAGAGTCAAGAGCAGCACATGGGACATGGACACCCAATGGCAAGGTCAACGGCAAGGTCACTGCAGGACAATGCCCCAATGGCTGCCATTGGCAACAGCCATGGGAAACTGCCTCCTGAGTGACACTCTTTCCATCCTATAACCTTATTAATCCAAAAGGGACAGTATCAGTCATCTAATTCAACCTCCTTATTTAGCAGGTCATCAAAGGGCCCACGAGTGAGCTCACTCAGAGTCCTGCAAACTGGCCAGAGTCAGAGCAGAGTCCCTCCCTATCCAGCTCCTCATCACCTGCACCATCCCCTCCTGTCACACAGAATTACATCATTGTCTCCATTCTGCCAAAACTGAACACCAGGAAATGTCACCAGAATAACACATATGTGAGCCCCACTAGTACAACTTTTCACACTTGGGGACTTTTGGAGAACCCTCCATATGCCTCAAAAAAAGAACAGATTTTTTTTCATGATAATAAACACCTTAATTTTATATCTTTTAAAGTTTCTTCCTGATTTAAAAAAAATATGTATCTGAGATTGTTGTTGTTGTTGACAGTTTTAGCAATATTCAGAGAAGGACTGACTAAGAGTTGGCAGCAGGAAGGAAAAAGGAATTAAGAAGTATTCAGTAGAGTCAGGAGTCACAAGCCAGATGCCTACAGAGGCCAGGCAAGTAATGACGATGCTTGCCCAGGGCAGCATTAGGGAATGGTGGGGACTGTGGCAAGCTTGAGCCCACTTCCCGCCTGAGGTGAGCAGTGCTCATTGCTCCAGGGCACTGATCTCACATGGAAATGCAGGCAACTAAAAACTCCATCCTTTTGAACAATTCAAATCTTCTATTTCTTTTTTCAATAAAACTAAAATGTCATACTATTACATGAACCCCCTTGTTATAAAATGTCCCAGCCAATTCACATCCTTGAAAACTGTGTGACCCAAACTAAACATGGTACAATCAGATCTCCAGCTCACCACCTCTGCTTGTGGCCCTTGTATGAGCTCTTCTTCCAGTTTTAACCCCCCAAATTCCATGTTTGATTATGAACAGTAATCCCCAAATGAGACAACTTATTCTATCATTAAGTGGGAAAAAAAGTAAAAATAAATGCATGGGGTGCCTGGGTGGCACAGTTGGTTGGGCATCCAACAATTGGTTTTGGCTTGGGTCATGATCTCAGGGTCATGGGGTGGAGCCCCACGTAGGGCTCCATGCTCGGTGCAGATTCTGCTTGGGATTCTCTCTGCCCCTGCCCCTCCCACTCATACTCTCTCTCTGTCTGTCTCTAAAATAAATAAATCTTTTTTTAAAAAGTAAAAATAAATGCAGAAAAACTAAGGCATAAAACGATCCTACAAAAACACAAAATGCTATTTATTGTTTCAATGCTGCATTCCAAAGAACACTCAAATACGAGAGAGAGAGAACAAGTAATTCCTCAGAGATGCAGTGAACTGGAGTCTTCAGGCCAGTGCTTGGAGAAGGGCTTGGTGGGGTGTGGGTTTCCTTGAGGCGGAGAGAGGGGAGTAGGCATTTGAGCAGAGACTGGATGTTAACGAGCCATGTCATTCCGAGCTGCTTCCAGAGAACAAAGGAAAGGAAGAACCTTCCCATTCGAGTCAAGCCAGGCATATTAAAGTAGTGCGTTCATTGAATTCTTACAGCACCACATTGGATATGAACTAACCCCGTTTTATTGATGAGGACATGGATCTTCAGCAAGGTCGTTTAATTGGCTAAATGCTACTGAAATAGGAAAAGCCAGGATTCAGTTCAACCCAGGCCTTCTGTCCCTGAGACCACATTCCTGATACTCTGGCTGCCTTCTTCTCCCTGATACCCACTCTCCTCAGGATACAAACGGGTGGCAAGGAGACAGAAGTAAATGTTGGGTGCAGGCAAACTATGATAGAGTGATTTAAAGCTCTTTCATTTCATAAATCAACAACAAACTCATAAGGCAAACAGGAAAAATTCCTGGTACAATCCAAATTCTTTGGGTTCTCCCCCAAACATGTGCACACACACACATGTGCACACACGCACACACAACGTCCTGATTTACATACTTTTGTGAATATAGCTTTCTCCACAAAAGAAATCATGAATTCTAGGTTTTACTGGATATTTTTTTGAAAAGTAATTACTAGCCTATAATATTTATTTTATAGAAGAAAAACTTATGTTCTTCAACTCAAATTAATTCATTCCAGAGAATGTAGGGTTTGAATAATGATTGGATTCTATATAGACTTGCTGGTGTTTGTCTTTTCAATGTATTGTTTTGCAGCCATTATTATGAGAAGAGCCCCAGGATGGCTAATACATCACCAGGTTTCACTGCAAATTTCATTTGCTAGTGGCACAATTAGAAGATTATTTGCTGGAGAAAATTAATTTTAACTGTTCAATGGCTCAGTAATTACAGAATATACATTCCAACAAGTGCTAGCTTACTGATACCAGCAGAAATCAAGCCAAAATATTTGTCAGAGCTTTAGTCACCAAAGTCTGGATTCCGATTTCATACTTCATTGATCTAAAAAGTAGTGAAGAAAATGAAATTTAAATGTCTCTCCATGATGAACTTCCCATGCAAATAGCACCCATCTATGTACATCACTGAAGGTACACAGATAATTCCAGAGAATCGAGGACACATGGGAACCCCATCGGCCCTTCCCACTCCCCACTCCCTGTCGGTGAACAGGACCATGCTGCCTCCCTCACAGAAAACACTAACACACATGAAGAGATCTGAGAAGAGAAACGCCTCAAAGTCTCAGTATTTCGGCCATGTGTCCAAAACATTTCAAATAAACTATGACAGTTTCCCTATCAAATCAAGGGTCTAACAGGGTCTATTAGAAAATGTCTCAACCTGCAGGACAGAGGAAAGAGGAGCATGTACCAAGCATGTTCGGACATGTTGGCCCGTGCTTCCAAGCTTCCTTCCTCATCAGCTCACAAATAAAACACATGCTAATTTTACAAGGAAATGTTTGGGGGGGAGATTAAATACTTTTCATTATACATACATTGAAAAGGATTTTAAAGTCAATTTTAGTAGCAACATATTCTCCTACCTGAATACTGGCTTCTGTAGGAAATCAGAATTCAGCATACGTAGTGTCTAAGTCCACAAAGACACCCAGACCGAGTGGAGTCAACAAAAGACAAATATTTCTCATAGTTCTGGAGGCTGGGAGTCTGGGATGAGGGTGCCAACGTGCTTGGGTTCTGGTGAGGGCCCTCCTGGTCCATGGTCCTTCTCGAGAGTCCTCACATGGCAGCAAGGACACCGAGCTCTCCGGGGTCCCTTTTACAAGGACACTAATCCCATTCATGACCGATTCACCTCCCCAAAGCCCCACCTCCTAACACCCACACTGGGGATTAGGTTTCAACATAGGAATTTTGGGAGGACACAATAATTCCATTTACATCACGGTTACAGTGATATATAACATAGCATATAATCAAGCCTGAAAACAATCATCACAAAATCAGACATCTATAAAGGAATATGTTCTTGTCAGTGAGTCCTCACACACAACAGCATCAGCATTGTAACAAACTTTAAAACGTCATGGCATTAGTCCAATACCTCTGGGCAACTTGGATGTCTATGGATTAAGATTTTCCTTCAAAAACAACAGGATGTTAAATTTGCATCTTCGCAGATGCAATTAAGAATTCAGATCACAAGCCAGCTTGCTCACAAAATTACACTATCTGGGTGGGTCCCCAAATCTCACGTTACTAACTGAATTCAGAGTGTCTTTGGGGGAGGGGCATGCAGAAGATGAACACAGCAACCCCCTCCCAAGAATTTCACCTTTACCTCAGCCCTGGATGAACTTCCTCGACTAAAATCCATATAAAAGGAGTCACTTACAGACAAAAGTAAACTAAGGAGGAGATTATTCTCTCAACTGAGAGAAAACAACTAAAATAACAGGAAACAGGGCACCTGGGTGGCTCAATCATTAAGCGTCTGCCTTCTGCTCAGGTCATGATCCCAGGGTCCTGGGATCGAGCCCAGCATAGGACTTCCTGCTTGGCGGGGGGCCTGCTTCTCCGTCTCCCACTGCCTGCTTGTGTTCCCTCTCTCACTGTGTCTCTGTCAAATAAATAAATAAAATCTTTAAAATAAAATAACAGGAAACAGAAACAGGTTTCCAACACGGGCATCGCAGATGCAGAAGGACAATATTTCAATAAAAGCAAGGACCAAGAAACTCTAAAGAACGACACACATGATTTGAAAAACAACAAGGGAGAATTTTTAGAAATGAGATATTAAATAATTTAAATTTAAAACTCAATGAATTGGTTTGATAGTGTCTTATACACAGCAGAAAAATTAGCCAAAAGATCCATGTGTACAAAGTACCTAAAGGACAGCACAAAGATAAAAGAGAGAAAATCAGGACACAGGGGAGGACTCCCGGAGGTTAGCATCAGTGAGGAAGGCCAACCCACATCGACTCCGAGGCAGAAAACACAGAAAGTGTAAGACAGAGGCAATCTCTGAAGACACAATGGCTGTTGAAAGTTACCACACCAAACTCCAGAGAGTTCAATCTATTAGCTACTTGGACGTATCACTTAAACCACAGTACACTGGAGTTAAAGAAAATATATTTTAAATAGCCAGAAAAGATAAAATATTACTTTCAAATAAGTAAATTATGATAACTGATTTCTCATCAGCAACCACGAAGTTAAAAGACAATAGAAAAACACCTTCCAGGGAACCCGGGTGGCTCAGTCAGTTAAGTGTGCAACTCTTGGTTTCTGCTCAGATTACAATCTCAGGGTCATGAGATCAAGCCCCACCTCAGGCTCTGTGCTCAGTGAGGAGTCTGCTTGAGATTATCTCTCCCCCTCTGCCCCTCCCCCAAGTCGTTCTCTCTCTTTCTCTCTCTCCCTCTCAAATAAATAAAAAAAATAAAATCTTCCCCAAATAAAGAAAAAGAGAAACGTCTTCTGTGGACTGAAGGACACTATCATTTACAGAATCATACATCTATAAAAATATACATGAAGAAGGAGGGAGAGAAGGCTTCCATCCCTGGGAACCATGGACTAAGTAACTCTGATCAACCTGTCCACTAAAAACTAATAAAATTGAACAAAATGAAAGCATTTACTTGAAACTTTAGACATCTAACAAAATAATGAGGAATTACCAGGCCAAGATCCAGGAAATAAAGAAAATCCAAGCATGTGAGCCCACTATCTGGGGCCACTGCAGCCCAGGGATTACTGCCCACTGTGGACAGATGGCTGAGAGATTGAACCATGTCTTTGATAGGCTCAGTGGCCAGCAAGCAGAAGCACTTGCTCAGGGCACACCAGCAACAGGGCTCCTTGTGAACTACCCATCTTTGTGAACTGGGACCCCAGTGGGGTCCATCCTGTCTTCAAGCCATCTGGGTGGCCCAAATTATCACACATTCTGAAGTTGTATTAAGGTGATCATGAAGAGTTGATGACAGGTTATCTGGCCAAAATATACAAAAAGTCAACTTTGGCAAAAGACAGTATCACCCTAGGCCACAAATTATTTCTGCGAGTAAGTTTTGAAAGTAATGTCCAGCACACAAAGATAACTAGGCAGACAGAGAGAGAAGACAGCATGACAGAGAACGGGCAGTAACAGCCCTAAAGCCGGGCTCCCTCCTGGCTCCCTGGTGCTGGGGAGAGCCAGCTGCTAAGGCACCTGTGGAGAGGCTCCCACAGCAGTGATGAAGCTTCCTGCCTCAGCCCTGGGAGTGAGCCTGGAAGCACCCACCCCAATCAGGCCTTCAGACGATGGTAGCCAGCAGGCTGACTGCAACCTCATGAGAGTCTCTGAGCCAGAACCACTCAGCTAAGCTGCTCTTGAATTCCTGATCCCAGAAACTATGAGATAATAAAGCTTTTTTAAGCCAAAAAGCTTGGGGTGGCTGGTTATCTGGCAGTAGATAACTAATGCACTGTCCTAGAGAGAGTCTTACCCATATGCACCAGCAGACATGCAAAAGAATGTTTACAAAAGGGCCGTTGTTTATTTCAGCATAAAATTTAGAAAAATCCAAATTAGCCATCAAATGATCGGATAAGTAAACTGGTAGTTTAGTCAATGAAAGAACACATGGCAGTAAAAGTGAATCACCTACTATTGACATGGATGAACCTCACAGCCTATTACCCCGTGAGAAAGCAACTAACAGAAAACTATATACAGTATGATAGCATTTATATAAAGTACACAAACATGAAACATTGAAAAATCTGTCCTTTGAGGATCCATTATCATGGAAGGATGCTCCAAAAGCCAAAATAGTGGTCACCTGTGGAAAAAGGATGGGGGTGGAGGTGGCAGGTTTTCAAACACCAGTCGTGCTCTCTCTTGATCCAGAGTGTGGTTTACACAGAGTTTTGCTTAAACTATACATAGAATTGTATACACTGCTGTATATACAACACATTTCACAATAAAGGAAATGAGTTAGCAACAGCATCAGCACAGGCAGTCTGCCTTTTAAAGGCAGACACAAGACATGGGTGATGCTGCCCCAGGTGAGGAATTCATGGAGGATAAGGAACAACTTCCTCCTTGCATTTGTAAAGAAGCCTTTTCAGAGGTCCCGCATCTAAACAGAATCTGTCATAGTAGTGACCCCTTTCTTTTTTAAGGGGATTTGTTCTTATCTCCCCAAAACATACACTACAAAGCTCTCAAAGCCCCTACAGCACCCCAACTCTGCGCCCCAGGAAGGGAAGAACAACAGCTATTTGTTGAAGAACTGCAAGCTTGAATTTTGGGTTGCAAAGACATTTGTATAATGACAGTTACTAAGAAAGTTTAGAGAACTTGTAAGAAGATTGGAGTACCCCTGAGAAGAAAAGTATGGGTATGGGCGCCTGGGTGGCTCAGTTGGTTAAGCGACTGCCTTCAGCTCAGGTCATGATCCTGGAGTCCCGGGATCGAGTCCCACATCGGGCTCCCTGCTCAGCGGGTAGTCTGCTTCTCCCTCTGACCCTCTCCCCTCTCATGCTCTCTCTCTATCTCATTCTCTCTCTCAAATAAATAAATAAAATCTTTAAAAAAAAATAAAAAGTATGGGTATAAACAGAACTGCGCTGTGTAACCCCATATGCAATAAGACCTCAAAAGGATTGTAATACCAGCATCAGGCAAAACAAAAAGGAATCAAACTGACATTTTGAGTGGTCACCATCAAGTATGACTAACCAGTTGAATATGGCCAACCAATTTCCATTAGGATTTCTACAGTGACCCCACTTTTATACACAGATGCATTTCCCCAGGACAGCTAACATCTCTCCCGCAGATTGTCTTGATCTAAGCAGACACAGTGGGGAGGGAAGGGGGAGTGTTTCTTTGCTCTCCGCAGACTTTCAGAGTCTGGGCTGTAGGCCAGCATTGCTTCTGGGCCAGGATTCTGGAGGTCACGGGTACAATGCTTGCAAGGCCTCAGTCTAGCAGGAGACACCGCTGGGAGATGCTCGGATTTCACACCTTAGCAAGTGCGTTCACACTCGAATGCCCAGCCAGCTATGGCAGAACACCAGTCTGGGGCCAGCCAGCAGAGGGACAAGCCACGCAATCAGACCCAGATCTGATTCCTGCCTTCCAACGTGCTTCCCCCGTATTCCCCGGCATGGCTAACTCCCTTTCTTCCTCCAGGTCTTCGAGCCAAGGTCACCTTTTCAGAGAGGCCTGCCCTCATGGTCCCTGCCCGCCCACTCCTCGTCCCCACGCCCTTTCTGACTCTAATACACCTGCTGAGAGCAGGTGGACGCCAGCCCTGCCCACCACCGGCAGGAGGGCGCTGTGCGCACAGGTGTGCCGTCCACCGCACTAGCGAGTTACCGGGTACAGAACGCCGCCGGCACTCGTCAGGTCACCGTGAGAAGGGGGCGACAGTGCGCCTCCGTGCCTGCGCTCACCAGGTCACGGAGCAGAGGGGGACCCGTGCGCCTCGCGCACTCGCCTAGTCACCGCCAACAGATGGTGACAGAGGTGCCGCCCACGCTCTCCGGGTCCCCCGCACAGAGGGCAGAGGGCGACAGGTGCACCGCCCACTCGCCGAGTCGCGGCGCAAAGAGCGGCGGGCCGCGCGCGGAAGGGGCTCCGCACTCACTCGAGCTTCTTGAAGGGCTCGCGGCCGGCCGCCACGTACTTGCCGCCCGCCTGCAGCGCCTGCAGCTCGAGCACCGGGTGCCCGCGCGTCGGCGTGAACAGGCGCCGCACGCCGAAGGGCGCCTCCACCTGCTCGGTCAGCTGGTCCAGCAGCGCCTCGAAGGTGGCCACGCGGCGCCGCGGCAGCACGAACCTCCGGCCCGCGAAGAACGCGTCCCCGTTGCGGTACACCAGGATGGTCTTGGCGGGCGTGGTGTCCACCAGCACGTGCGGCCCACGCGTGCCCATGGCCCCACCGCCCCAGGGCCGCCGCACACCACTCACTGCCCTCGAGCCGTGGGGCAGCCAGGGCGTGGGCGTGGGACTGCGGTGTGCCCCGGCTCCCCGCCCGCGCTGACGCCAGCTGGCCATTGTGACCACCTGCACCCCTGAGAGGGGCAGGACGATGGCCAGATGAGGGGCGGCAGGGAGCCGGAACAGGTGAGGGCGCCGGCATCTGAGAGCCTAGAGAGGTGAGGGGCAGGAGGAGGGCAGGCTAGGGGAGGGGGCATCAGCGAACCTAGACAGGCGAGAATAGCAGAGATCAGGGAAAGGAAGGGAGACAGCCACTCTTTGTGATCTACCTCTCTGCAGAGGCGGTAGGAATGGGAGGGTGCTGAGGATCCACCCCACACTCACCACAACCTTCCCACTACACTTGCCAGCCTCCTATGCCAGAGAGGTTGGGGACATGGGGGGGGGGGCATCAGTTCTGTGTGGATAATCAAAATTGTGTCAAGGAAGAATTGTATGGAATCATTGAGAGCCTGTGAGAAACTGGATTACTCGTCACAGCTAGCACCTGGTTTCTCAAAGGTTAAACATTCAGAATGCACTTTCATTTGGGGAAGAACAATTCAAGGTCGCGGGTGCCCTTGTGGAAGTTATTCCTTTTCTGGGTAGCAATGGGCCCAGAAAGAGGATGGGTCCTCTTGAGCTTAGACAATCAATGATTCCAGAAATATATTTTTCCAATGGTTTTGATAGGCTTAAACTTTTAAAGGCAATAGGCTATGAATACATAGCCTGCCAAATCTACAGACAGAAGGTACAGAAAATGCTATAAATAGCAAGATCCTGTAGTAGTTTTTAAAAGTCATCTTTATGAGACCACCTGCTTTTCATAGCCACAGCCAATTTTTAACCTACCACACACTTCATAGCAACGGTAAGTACAGATGTCAACGTGTGAGAGTGACCACTTTATCAAATCACCAGGAATTATGTTGATCTTAGAAAGATTCATTGCTAGGAACCTCTTAAGTTTTAGGTGTTAAAGACACTTCAGGAGAAGTGTGGGACTGTGTCATCCCGTAGCCCACGCCGGCCACGCGTGGAGTCAGAGGTTGGCTCGGAAGCCCGCTTTCACGAAGAACCTCACCTTGGGCTTCTCGCAGGGCCGCAGCAAGCAGATGGAGCTGGGGAAGCCCTTGAGTCGCAGACAGCTCACGCCGCCGTCGGGGGAGATGGTGAGCCTCGCGTGCGTGATGACGTCCTGGAGCTCCAGGGTCAGGCTGTTGAACAAGTGACTTTCATTGGCGGAGAGCTGAAAGAGAGGCCAGGAAGAAGCCCTTGTGGTAACGCAATGTGGGGCCCAAATGCGCTGGCCCACCGAGCCGTCTGTCCGTGTGGACTCAGGGCCCGTGAACCATGCTGGTTACTCACTCACAGTAAGCTGGCTTACCACAGAGAAAAGCTAGTCGGGATCTCAAGCCCGGGGATTACTGACATGACCACTCGGGTCCATGTTTGTGGTTCTTAATAGTTAATGAAGTGGACACACTGATAAGGAAAAGTAAGTGACCTCCCAGAGGTCGTCACCCATCACTCCGCAGGAGCAGCCCCCATGCTCCACTCTGAACCACAAATGACTGTCCTCCCACTGGATGGAAGAGGACACTTCTGGGACATCTCAGCATCCATCCCACAAGAGGACACGCTGTTATAGCTTTAAATATGCTACTCATCCCTTCTAAAAAGTTAATATACTGCAGAAACACCTCCATATACATATATATGGAAGTATGTATATATTCTTTGCACATGATGATTTAAAACAAAACTTGGTTGTTAGAAATGCAAAGGTATGAACTAAAGCCTGTGTTTTCATGACATAAACGCACAGATAACGGTTTTTAGAAGCTCATCCGCGTTACTGTGAAGCTGATCAGAAGGTTTGGAAAGCGAATCTGAGGGATGCGGCCGGGCTGGGAGCCAGCCTACACAGCTCCCCGTGGGTGCCACACCTTGGTGACTGGCAGCAGCGGTTTCCACTTATGGCCCGGAAGCTCCCACTTCCGTCTGATCATGTCTTCTTCCTCCTGAGTCGTCAGGATACAACCATCCAGCTTACAGCTGTCGGGAGAATTGCCTGTCGGAGCAAATGCAGGGTGACTCTCTCCATTCTATTTATACTCAGCACTTTGGCTTATAGGGTCTTGGACTTTTTAATCGAATCAAAGACCCAGCAAAGAACGGATTGTTCTCTCCAAACAGAAGCAAAGGTGTGACATATGTGAGAGAAGGAAAGCACCCAGCAGTGATGGGGTTGGATCGCCTGATGAAAAGTAGGTGTGTGTTTTTCAGGGGAATCAGAATCGATCTGACATCATTAGCCTGCTGGCATGTTGGAGTTTGGATGTGCAGCATTTTACTTTGAAAGTTGAAGGCAATAAGCACCCTAGATTGCAGTTAAGTACTTGCATGGGGCTGTGTGGTTCATCTGAAACTATGTTGAAGCTGGAAGATACTTTCCTATGGCATCATATGTCGTCACGTGAAGTAAAGAGAAAGACCGAGCTAAGTTAACCAGTCAGTGAGCAGCACCAACCCAAGTGCTGTATCCCAGGTGTGCTAACTGTTCCCCAGGTGAGACCCAGGGTCCTGAGTCTCTCTTCTCTCTGGAATTCGTCCGGGTTGTGTCCAGTGGGGTTGGAGGGCCACGCTCTTTGTGGGAAGAACCGCTTTAGGGATCCCCTAAGACTTTAAGATCAGCAGAGGAGGGGTTGCTGATAAAGAACCTGACAGAAGGGGCACCTCGGTGGCTCAGTCGGTGAAGTGTCTGCCTTCGGCTCGGATCATGATCCCAGGGTCCTGGGATCGAGGCCCACATTGGGCTCCCTGCTCAGCAGGGATTCTGCTTCTCCCTCTCCCTCTGCCTGTCACTCCCCCTGTTTGTGCTCTCTCTCTCTCTCTCAAATAAATAAAATCTTTAAAAAAAAGAACCTGACAGAAAAAAAAAAATGCATTGTTCTCATGCCCCCTATAGCTCATCTCTTAAAACGGTTACCTCCAAGGTGGGTGAGCACACTCCCGGGTGCACACAGAAACCCCAAAGATGCAGGAGGAGAACATGAAAGCCACTATTTCTGTTTCTACTTCTCTAATATCTATGCACATACATGCGTATCTATTAGGCCTTGTGTAGTTGAGAGGACAGCTAGATCCTGGCACGCCCCACACTCTACGACTGTCCTCATGTGATACACGGAACCTGGAGAGCAGACAGCAGCAAGCTCCTGACAGTGCAGTCAGGCACCCCGGTTACATGGACTTACTGATTGTTACCTGGTTTTAAATAAACTATCACGCACACAATTAACAAGTGATTTTAAACTATCCATGCAGACACCCATGGATTAAACATAGCACCAGAAATGCAAGCAGCCACAAACCACGAGAAAAAAGCAGAGCTGACATCACCACTGATCCAGAATTGAGCTCTTCATCAGCTGTGTTATTTACCCCAAAGACACAGATGTAGTGAAAAGAAGGGGCCCCTGCACCCCAATGTTCATAGCAGCAATATCCATAATAGCCAAACTGTGGAAGGAGCCTAAATGCCCTACAACAGATGAATGGATAAAGAAGATGTGGTCCATATATACAATGGAATACTATTCAGCCATCCGAAAGGATGAATACCCACCATTTGCATCGACATGGATGGAACTGGAAGGGATTATGCTAAGCAAAGTAAGTCAAGCAGAAAAGTCAATTATCATATGGTTTCACTCATATGTGGAACATAAGGAATAGTGTGGAGGACCACAGGGGCAGGCAGGGAAAACTGGATGGGAAGCAATCAGAGAGGAAGACAAACCATGAGAGGCTCTGGATGCCGGGAAACAAAATGAGGGTTGCAGAAGGGAGGGGGGTGGGAGGATGGAGTAACTGGGTGATGGTATTAAGGAGAGCATGTACTGTGATGAGCCTTGGGTGTTATATGCAACTAATGAATTGTTGACCACTACATCAAAAACTAATGATGTGCTATATGCTGGCTAACTGAAGATAATAAAAAAATTAAAAAGAAAGAAAGAAAAGTGAAAACAGTGACCTAACAATCAGATCTAAAGTAGTCTTCCAAAAATAAGTCACAATGATCAATACTTCTTGAAATAATTCAATTAAATCCACTACCACTGAAGAAGAGCTTCACTTTAAATATATATTGTGTCTTGGTGTGGTAACTGAAGTCACAATGATTCACAAGACATTTAAACATCAAGGCATCCAAAATAGGAGTATAAACTGCCACCGTTGACTGACAACTAAACAATCACAAAACGTCCAATCCAGTACGTATGAAAATTTCACCCAACAGTTATAAAGGTTTAATATCTGCTCTTGAACTTTGTCGATATAATGACACATGTATACATTTCATGAGAATGTAGGTTTTGAATATCAGGGGTGCTTGTGCAAATATTTTTTTTAAATGGAAGGGCATGGTTTTGAAAATGTGTAGCTCCCTGCCTTAAAAGTCCAGTCTGGAGTGGAAATGGTCACCCCCAACCAATCTGCTTCATCCCCCTCCCCCTGATAAGAAGACGCCATCCAGTTCTTCTCACGTCCTAACCAGAGGCTATTTCACACTCATTCCAAGCGAGATCCAGGGACCCTATAGTAAAGAGTCTTCACAGAATCTCGTCTGCTTTGGGGGGTCATCCAGTTCAACTCTGACATTTTATAAAGACAAAAAGTAGGGCATCAAGAGTTAGAGGAAGTTGCTCAAAACCTCACATCTGCTGAGGGTAAAAGCTGAGTGTCTAGCCCACCATCCTGAGCTCTACTCCCACAGGACCACATTATCTCTATAACCAGCTACTGGTTATATGTACTTCCTGACAGCCTTACACTTACCTTTAAAATGTGTTGTATCAATTTCTATTTGAGTTATTACTCCAGGATGTGCCAATCGGAAAACTGCCCATTCACAACCCGGAACAAGGAGAATGCCACTCTCA